ACTTAGCATTCTACTCCACATTGTTTGAGCACTGGACCAGTTTGCTTGGGCAAGAAGGGATCAATCCTGACCCAAATCAAAGAGAAAATGGATGCTAGAAGGATTGACCAAAGGATTACAATGGTAGGAGTCCTGTTTTGCTTTCCCATGAGACCTTTGAGGAAAGGGTATAAGTGAACAATGACCCAGAAGGCAAAAAACAACTTCCCAAACAAAGGTCCCCATGAGCCATATCCATTGTTGATGGCACCAGAGACTCCAGCCACAACTCCAACAATGTTCAAGATTATGAGAGTGGTTGGTGGAATGAGAAGAGTGGTCCACTTGAAGAGATACAACTCTCCAAATTCAGTGTCTTCTGCTGCTTTTGCTGTGACAGAGTCCAAGTCTAAAAAGAAATCAGGAAAAGGTCTCTTCAGTGTTTTCTCCAAGAACAAGAAGAAGAAAATGATGGGAAAAGACTATGTTAGAAAAGGGTCAGGGTCCATGTTTGATCTTGAGGAGATTGAAGAGGGGCTTGAAGGGTATGATGAGCTTGAGAAATCATCTCTCATGTCCCAGAAAAGCTTCGAGAAGCGATTCGGGCAGTCACCGGTTTTCATTGCATCTACATTGGTGGAAAATGGAGGACTTCCTGAAGGCACAAACAGCCAATCATTGGTTAAGGAGGCGATTCATGTTATAAGCTGTGGCTATGAAGAGAAGACCGAATGGGGCAAAGAGGTAAAGCCATTATCTCAAAACAATGATACATTAGAATTTTCTTGATGCTTTGCACATCAAATATGCTAATACGTTTTATTACAATTACTGATTACACATTCACTTGCAACATAAAAGAAGGAACATAGAGTTCCATGATTAATTAATATATCTCTTTCAATCCCTTTTGACAAATTTGTTTTGATTACAAATACAGATTGGATGGATTTATGGGTCAGTGACAGAAGATATTTTGACTGGATTTAAGATGCACTGCAGAGGATGGAAATCAGTGTATTGCATGCCAAAGAGAGCAGCATTCAAAGGATCTGCTCCTATAAATCTATCAGATAGGTTGCACCAAGTTCTAAGGTGGGCTCTTGGTTCTGTTGAGATTTTCCTTAGTCGACACTGCCCCTTGTGGTATGGCTATGGAGGAAAACTGAAGTACCTAGAAAGATTGGCTTACACTAACACCATTGTTTATCCATTCACTTCCATCCCTCTGCTTGCATACTGCACAATTCCTGCCGTGTGTCTCTTAACTGGAAAATTCATCATCCCCACAGTAAGTGCCAGACCTTAACCAATGATTGGCTGTTTGTGCCTTCAGGAAGTCCTCCATTTTCCACCAATGTAGATGCAATGAAAACCGGTGACTGCCCGAATCGCTTCTCGAAGCTTTTCTGGGACATGAGAGATGATTTCTCAAGCTCATCATACCCTTCAAGCCCCTCTTCAATCTCCTCAAGATCAAACATGGACCCTGACCCTTTTCTAACATAGTCTTTTCCCATCATTTTCTTCTTCTTGTTCTTGGAGAAAACACTGAAGAGACCTTTTCCTGATTTCTTTTTAGACTTGGACTTCCTTGAACCACCACAGCAAAAGCAACACCATGATGGCCAGCAGTCACATGTCATCTTTGGCCTTTTCTCAGACACTGGTGGATCATAGCCATATAATGCCTGTCTATTGAACACAGTTCCAGTACCAACATATACTGGACCTTGAATCCCATCAAGTCCTTTCATATTGATCTATGATCAAAGCAACATTGAAGACAAAAGGTTCAAGATCAGTTAGTGTATAAAACATGCACATATTTGTGGAGTTGGTGTTTAGAATAATGGTACTTACATCAAAGAACACAGTGTTGCGATTAGCATATCTATCGTGGCGATCAATACCATCAAATCTTTGGGGAAATTGGACATAACACAGCTTCTTCCCAAGGTTGGGGTCCATTAAGAAGCACATAGCCTCTCTTACTGCCTTACTATTATTGATGTAGTGATCACAATCCAGATTCAACATGAATGGTGCATTTGTAAGCACAGCAGAAACTCGAACCTTTTGATGATAGACAACAAGAAAAGAGTTGGAAACAAGGTTTCTAATATCTTGGTCCTACAGTAACTATACAATACAGTTTCAGGTTTTTTTGCTTACCAAAGCATTCATGGCACCAGCTTTCTTGTGGTGGGGATAGCCAGGACGTTTTTCACGTGAAATATACACAAGTCGCGGTAGTTCCTTGCCTTCCACGTCAAGTGCACCAGCACTTCCTAAATACACCTGCAAAGGCAAGTCCATAAGACCATAACTCATGAGGCCTATTAGTTGATACTAGTTCGTCCTCTTATTAATTTCTTCATTTTATTTTCACTAACTTGAATTTTCAATAAGAAATTGTAGTTTATATATTATTAATATTTAATTTCATCTTAAAATCAATAGGCAATACATTCACATTGCATAAAATGCAAGGGGAATTCAAAGGCTACTCACATTGCATAAATGCAAGGTGTTTTTGTTTTGTTATTTTTCTTAATGACAAGATAATGAAAAGTACAAAAAGAGAAAGAGGATGCAATAGACAGACCTGAATCATTCCTGGATGATCACGAGTGTTGTTCCCAGGCCAAGGAGTTCCATCTTGCATCACCCACCCCTCCTCTGGTTTCTTTTGAGCCTTTGCCACCAAAGAATTAATTTTCACCTTAAACTCTTCATACTCTCTCTGAAATGGAGAAACCATAAAAGTATTACCACAAGCCTCTAATGCACATTGAGACTAGAAAAACAAAACAACTTGTCCTATCTTTAAGTATATGCTCACCTTCATGGCCCTTCTTTCCTTGACAAAAGTTGGTTGGACCTTATCCTTCAAGTAATCAATTTTCTGAGAGAAGTAAAACTCAGGAGCCCTTGGCTCAATGTTATACTTCTTGCAAAAGGGAACCCATCTTCTTGCAAACTCAGCAGTTTCTGCCAAAGAATCAAAGAGAAGCATAGAAGCACCATCATCTGAGACATAGCAGCTGACCTTGTCAACAGGATAGTCAACAGAAAGGATTGAAAGGACAGTGTTTGCTGTTATGATGGGAGGTTCCTTCAAAGGGTCAACAGTACTCACAAACACATCAACTGGAGCAAGTTGGTTTGGCTCCCCTTCACGCTCAAACCTTAAGGACAAACGCTCCAAGTAGGTCTCACGTGTGATGGGGAACCACTTTGGGAACTGATCAAGAATCCATGACAGTGCAAACCATATCTCACATATCACTGAGATAAGCCACAAGGCAAATGCATCGTATGCTGGAGTTAAGATCCGAAAACGGAAGAAGAAACAAAGGATCACCAGCCTCATCACAATTACTATGCGATATGGATTGATTAAGCTTGAAGATATTGGAACCTTGCGCCACAATGGTTGTCTAGCTTCTGCCAAACTGTCACATGACAAAACAAGATTAGTTCTAGTTAAAATATTTAGTTTAGAAGAGCAATAGAAGAGATGACTCACAGGTAATCATCATCTTCACCTTGGTCTTCTTTTCCGTCTTCTTTGTTTAGAAGACCTCTCTTTTCTTGCCTCACTTTCCACTTCTCTACTCTTTCTTGCCATTCTTCGTTGCTATAAAAATCTTTGTCCCCTTCAAAATCCTTGCCAGCAACTAAACAACAATAGACCAATATATAAACAAATAGTATAGAATATAAAAAAAAATATTGTTGATAATTTTCAATTTGCTTATACTATGATCTTTCAAAAAATTGACTAGTTTCTTACCACTCCCAGCTGAAGAGAAAGCTTGACCATTGGGATGCAACTTCTCTTTATTGTAGTCCCCATTTTCCTGTAAAAATCACAACAGTCCATAGTCTCTTCGATCATTCACATTCAATTAATTGGCACAGCCACAATACTAATTGTCTCATTAGTTTTAGCCAAACCCCATTTGGTGGAAATACATAAAAGATTTTCAAGTTCCATTTCCACTTATTTTTGCAAGAGAAATTACCACATGATTAACATCATATTGCCGATCTAGATCTTCACGATGATTCTTAATCTGAAACTCATCATCAAAATCATCTGCATCAGAGTTCTCATCCTCATCCCCAACCACTCTAGGACAACCTGCCCAGAAGCCACCATCAAAGTGTCAGATATTATAAGTACTAACATGCATTTCTTTTTTTGACCAATAGGAAAGATTGAAAAACTACATTAAAGTTTGAATCTAGTATCTCAATTTTTACTACTAGACCAAGTCCTAATGATTCACTGTGATGCATTTATGTAAGAAACTACATCTAAGTTTTTTCCTAATACATTAAACTATAACACAAAACATAGAGAGCTAAGAAGCTATATAACCTTTGTGACGTTTATAGCGTGTGTTGCATTGAGGACAGCACTGGTTCCCTTCACTCCTCTCATAGTCATAACATGGTCGACAAACAGGAAATCCACAGACATGACAAGCCACGAACCGCTCCCCATTTTCCTTATATCCAATCTCATCACCACAAACTCGACATGTTTTTGATGAACCTTGACGGGTAGGAACCTGATGCTGCAAAGATGGAACATGTCAACATGTGACACATAATGTTGTGCAACATGAAATGAGAAGAAGGTGAAGATACTATACCTCATCAGAGTCACGTGAGAGATGAGAATGAGCACCGGTGATCAAGCCAGCCATGGAGTTGGTGGCCATGGCAAGGCAAAGTTACGGAGTGGGTGGGAAGAGTGGAAAAGGAGATGTTTTTATAAGAAATGATGGGTTGAGAGTGAAAGATGAACATCAAGGTCGTGGTTGTGAGTGTGTACCAAACTGTGAGTTGGAGGGTCGTGTAGTTGTGTTTGAGAGTTGAGATTCAAACTTAGAGTCTAAGAGACGTAACGTTAGGGAAGGAGCGATAGGTGTGAGGCCCTTTTCCTTTATTTTTGGATTGCTTGGACTCCAAGGAGAAATATCTATTCTGGTTCTTAGTACGTGACATGATCAATTAGATACATGTTTCATGTTTAATGTGTCACACGAGCTGGTTATTATGTCACGTCTCAGTTCATAATATTATTAAACAGAAAAGGCATGAAAGACCAACAATGGAGGTGTTTTATCTAGTTCTTAAATTAATGATGCTACTACGCATACAAGGGAGTTGTAATGTCACATTTATTTACAGCTAACAACCAAATGGAAAATGCTATTTGTAGGAGGAATGGGAAAGTGCAAACTTTTAACATCCAAGATCTGCGAAGTTCCGCAACGCTTTTTTGCATCTCTTTGTCTTTTATTTTTTTTTTAATACAATTTTATATATATATATTAGCTTTTCCGTTATACTTAATTACCAACTTTATTAGTCTTATGATCGATCAATAATTAATTATCATGTTGACACATATTCTCTCTCCGAGTTAATCGTTCTATATACTAATCACCTAATATGGATCATAATACAAGTTTTGGTACTTTCCAATTAGTGAACACTTTATCATGTTTAAATATTTTGGTCATGAATGTTTTAGTTAAAATGGAAGGTTGTTGTTGGTTTCATAGGGTAGTTAGATTTTTATGTCTTTGTCATTCTTAATTTCTTTGTTTATTATGGCTACATGTTTAGAATTATAAATCCTAAATTATTTAATTTGAAGTTTAGTAAGATAAGTGGTCATATGAAAGATCTCAACCAAGGATGCATTAATTAAATATGAGTGTTTTTTCTATGTTTAATGAATTACAAAGCACCTCTAGTAGTGAGGAAGAGCTTAGTGATAATGATCTTCTTTGTTACCGTGAAAATAAGGCTCTAGTGAGGGTTTCACAAACAACCAAGCACTCAAGGAATTTTTTTTTTCACTTGTCTTTTTCCAAGGGTATGATAGTATATTATTGATGTTATTTTTTTGTTTTCTTTTTGCTTAATGATCTAACATTCAGATTGTTTTTACTAGTACAAGATCATTCAAGCAACTGTTTCATTGCTTATGCAAATGGGCACAATGAATAGAGCTCAAGGTATGTATTAGAAGCAGAGCAGATTACGATGAAGCAAATGTGGAAATTAAAATTGAAATGTTGCTTAGGGTAGATAGATTTGTGGTTGAGTTGAAAATGTTAAAGGTTATGATGTTTGTTATCTTTGTAATTATTATAAATTTAATTATAGTTTAGGTTGTGTTTATGACGGAACATAGGGCATAAGTGTATTTGGCCTATTATGTAAGTGACATGACTATACTAAAATGTAAATGGCATGTCTTGTAGTAATGAAAAATTGGATTACTCATGAGTCTTATGCTTTTTATGTTATGTAGTTAAATTTAAGTGTTATTCGTTGGTATAAAAGATGTAGAACCATGAGAATTAATTATCTTCTAAGAGACAAAATGATGGGATGATAAATAACATTGTTTGCATAATTAAAAATTAACAAAATAACATTAAGGTGTTGGCTATAATTACATACATATTGAATAACATGAGTTTCATGTTTTTGAAAATTTGAGCTCAAATTACATAATAGAACAAAAAAAAAAAACATAATAACAAAACTGAAATTTGATCTCAAAATACCCGATAACAAAACCCCAAAAAACATAGTAATGAAATTGAAATTTGAGCTCAAATTACATAATAACAATTATACTAAACAGAACCCAAAAAACCAATAAATCCAAAAACATTGTCGAAAACAACTGTGCAACTTGTGTTTCTTGTTGTATTGCGTCAACCTCGACATTTTCAGCTTGGATAGTCATCGCTCTAGTTGCTTTCTTCTTCTTCTTCAAATTGGGATCAAGTGCAAAATCATCAATTTTGCATCCTCTTTGATTATGTCTTTCATGTCACACCTTTGGCATTAGACAACAACATATTTTCTTTTTAGCTTATTATTTTGAACAATTTTTTCAATGTCATCTTTCCTACACTGAATTTTGAACCTCCCCGATTTCCTTTTAACTGGTGGGGGAATTGACCTAACATAATCAGCCATTTGCCAATATTGAGAACTTTAGGTTGGTTGGATGAAATGCTGGTATGTTGCATTGTATGAACCCATGAACAATCAAGCATCACAAAAATCCTTTAGAAAGAAACTTTTGTATGTTATTGTTGCACATGTATGTTGACATGGTATACTTGCATAGTCTACGCCAGAATATTAAATTATTGTAGATTTACACATATTCAATCTTGTGTGCAGAAAAGACGACAAAGAAATTATTATTTTTAATTAATGATAATTAATAAGACTCTACCAATATTATAAATTATGTATATCAGTTAAATAAAAAAATACATAGAAAAAACAAAACAAGTAAAAGGCATATCATATAAATTGTTGAACTTCTAAGGTTGTGGTAATTTTATGTTTTTGTCATATCATTGAGATTTTATCCTTACAACTTTATTCATATAAACTTACATTTGCATATACCTATTCTTAAGTTATACTATAGAATATATTTTGTTAATTATATGATAATGCAAACATAACATGTAAGGATCATATGATATTGAGCCTAGGCATGTTGGCTAAGCCCATTAAACATCTAAATCTTCAAACTTCAGAATTTACACACAATTGTAATGGCAAGAAATCAACATGAAAGGAACCACAAATTTAACAAAATTGGATAACTTTTGTAAATATTCAAAGTATTAGATGTATCTTCACTTCCACAGTTCCACCTACACACAAACATGTTATAAGTCAAGCACTTGAAGCTATGTAATAATGTATTTTCTTATTAACTTTCAACGGAACCTTACTTGTGTAACATTAGGGTGCTCTTAAATTTTATGAATAACTTACAAACTAATTTTTTGTTTTTCACAACATACGTAACAACTCCATCATGGCGAGCTGTCCTTTTTTAATCTTTTAAGGATATTTAATATGCAGAACTTTCTGCTTGGAACTATTTTGAAAATTAAGAGTTCATTTTTTTATATTTTAATTATAACTAATAAAATTTTAGTATGTTGACATAAATATTAAAGTCTTTTCACTTGGAGTGTGTTAGGAATATGCCATTAGATACTGATAAAGTAGTTTTAATTTTTAGTTTAAATAAGTCAATTAATTAGTTTATAAAATTATGTTCTAGTGTTTCTTCTTTTATAATATAATTGATATATTTAAACACAATATTTTGTTAAAGTATTGTTAATTTTTAATTTGAATAAGTCAATTAATTAGTTGATAAAATTACATTTTAGTGTTTCTTCTTCTACAATATAACATATATTATAACACAATATTTTTAGTTTGTTAAAGTATTTTTAATTTTTAGTTTAAATAAGTTAATTAATTAGTTGATAAAATTATTTTATAGTGTTTCATGAGAGAATGAAGAGCCTTCTTAGACATTGCAATGACCACTTGTTTCAAAATTTGAGCTCAAATTACATAATAGAACAAAAAAAAAAAACATAATAACAAAACTGAAATTTGATCTCAAAATACCCGATAACAAAACCCCAAAAAACATAGTAATGAAATTGAAAATGTAGAGGTTGTCCCACAGGTGATATGCAGCAACATCAATTATATGACAATTTCCAAATTTGTTTTAGGTACACAGCAAATATGAAATATCTTTATGGCAAATCTTTTGCTATTTTTTTCAGGGGAAGGAATGAAGTTGTTGGGTCATCCAGTCGTGTGACCCGACCCAAGTCCAATCTGAAAAGAGTGCGGGTTGGGCGCTACCACTTTTTTTTACTATCATTTGCTATCCACTTTATATATATATAGAGAGATATAGATATAGATATATATCTTAAACTTTGACTATTATTTTACCTTTCCATCAGAACAAAGGCCATTATGGCAATTGAACAAGGTTTTTCAAAAGGTTAAATAACAAAACTAATCTAGGATGGAAGCACCATCATTCTTTACATTAATCAAACAACAATATTATTGTATATGTAATTATTGTGAAAAAATAACGAAAGGAAGATTTGAGAAGAATATAAGGAAACACAAATGATTGGGCGCTTTTAGGAACCTAATACAAACACTTATTACGTTGATTAAGCCTTTAATCAGCATTGCTAGTGCATTCTATGTCACTCGGAGTGACAGTACTTGACATAATACAATTTGAAATTTACCATAAACCTAACATGTGTCACATTTTATGTTGGACGAACCACTCAACATGAAATGTATTTTTTATGCGATTAAAAATATATATTCAACATAAAAAGATTTAAAAATATTAAAAGTTTTTCATCATACTATATTCTATTTAATGTTGAGTGGCTCCACATAGAATCATGTCATAGAAACATAATTTTGTACTAGTGTTATGAAGCTTCAAGAGTTGGAGAGTCTATAATCTATACTAGGTGTGAAACAAGCAAATAAAAATATATTAAAGGAGGCATCAAGTGGTGTTGTTGTTATTGGAGGTACCCAAGCATCTAAAAAAGGTTCAAGTGCAACTTCAACCTCAAGAGAAAAAGGGGAAAGAGAAAGTGGTTCAAGTTGACGAAGAATTAGAATGAGAGTTTTGTGTGTCCGAGTGTTTGGATATGTTATGTATTTTGTTTGTTGAAATATATTTATCAAAAGGAGTTTACATTATCTTTTCTATGTATTAAATATTTGCATACATCTTCACAAGGATGAAAATCACTTGTCCCTTATTCGTGTCCCATTTCCTGTCCCACCAATCAACAAAAGTTATGTCAATTATATAGTCACGTCATTCTAATTTAAGTTAGAATAAAAAGCTA